TTTGTTGTACTTCCGTTCAGTTGCATGCTGGTATTTTATTTTTATATATTTTATGTAATTTATAAAACTAATTTTTGTATTATATTATAATAATTATAGCGACCTGCAGCCTCACAAGAACAAATGCCATCAGAATTCCCGATTTCCCGATAACGGCAATCCCGCCCACATTAGGCCACCTCAAATTGTGTTATTATTTTCTTTACAAGTTGATGAAAGTACAGACGTGTCGGATAATGCTAATCTAATGTGTTTGTAGATATGATCTTGGAAATACTTCTCACGAAGAGTTATTGTTTGTAAATCGCTGCCAACAAGAACAACAGCAGAAGAGTTATTAATTTAATCAATAGATATATTATTGAGAATGGCATTGAATGGAAGAAATGTGTGGGATTGAGTAGCGATGGAGCACGTGCAATGTCAGGTATTCGTACTGGACTTTTCTAAGAGTAAAAGCTATAGCACCGGAATGTGTATGGGTTCATTGTAGTATTCACAGAGAGCATTAGCGGTCAAAAAAATGCCATTGTCTTTAACTGAAACGATACAAGAGCAGTGGCGGCTCGTGGTATGGTGCACAGGAGCACGTGAACCACCCAAAAAAATTATATAAAAAATTATTATATGCCATAATAACATAATATAATTGATGATTATACAAATGGACTGTAATTAAAAAAAATATTAATAAAAACAAGTTTTTGCAGCTTTTATGTTAAGAAATATATTTATAAACGATTAAATAATATCGCGGAGCACAAGTTGTTTGTGCTCCGGGCGGCCGTATAAAAATTAGCTACATGCCTCAACACGCCGGTTAGTAATACATAGCAATTTGGAGCACATTTAATGTGTGCACCGATCCTATTTTATTGTCGCGCTATCGCGATATCGTGTCATTCGTCGAAACGATAACGCATCAATATATCATTGTACAGTATCCATCAACTGCTGCCAGTGTGCAGCTGTCAAATCAACTAATAACTACTATAATATCCATTGACTTTTTATTATTATTATAATACGTTTATGATAACATCAACGTTCATAATATAAAAACAGATTAAAATCATATTGTTATGATTAGCTATTATTTGCCATTAGTTTCGTCAAACAGCGTGTCGTGTACGGTTTGCGTTTAATAGTTTCTTTGTACGAATATTAATATTATTAATTTTATACTTTTATTAATTATTTTTCGTGGGTACCTGTAGTTTTAATTTTGTGTTTGTAACTACCAATCAAACAATCAAACATGGTTACTGTTGAATATTTATTAAATAACAGTTTTTCTCGAAAATCTGGTGATAATAATTGGGTACAAAAAGGTATAAACGATTTGGCTCATTTAAATTTGAAAATCAAAATGCATGAAAAATAAACTTCTCACATTAGTTCACATTTTAATGGGGTAAAATGCTTAAAAAAATTTAATTTAGATAAGATAAGTAAGTACGTTATTTTGGTATTATTCGTGGTATGTACCTATACCAAAATAAATTTTTTTACCATCTAACATAGATATCTCATACATTTTTTGTGCACCACTTAACGTGAACCTCACGAGCCGCCACTGTACAAGAGTGTGTAAAATTTATAAACTTTATTAAATCTCGTCCACTAAACTCGAGAATATTTTCTGCTTTGTGCAAAGAAATGGGGAGTGATCATAAACATCTTCTTTTACACTGTGAGGTGCGATGGCTATCGAGAGGGAATGTCTTGAAAAGACTAATCGAGTTGAAGGAAGAAGTTTCGGTATTCTTAGAACAAAATCCTCCAACATCTAAAGATGCTATTTTTCAATTTAAAGACAGATTTCATGATGCTAATTGGTTAGTTAAGGTAGCCTACATTTGTGATGTGTTTAATTTTTTGAATAATTTAAATTTGGCATTTCAAGGTAAAAATGTGACAATATTTAAAGTACAGGAGAAGGTGGAAGTTGCAACAAAAAAACTTAATTTGTGGTCACGTCGCATAAAAACAGGAAATTACGAGGCTTTTACAATGCTGACAGCATTTCAAAAAGAGAATAACATAAGTTTCATGTCACACGATATATCAGTTCTTATTCAGGAACATTTGCAAGGACTGGAAGCTTATCTAAAAGAATATTTTCCTCCAATTAACAGTAACAAAGAATGGATAA